CCATTTTATCCAACTTAGATCTATGAAAGGTGAATAGCATTCTGTTTATAGCACAGCATAAGAAATAGTTTTATTCAAAACTAACCTAAGTAAAAAGGCAGACTATGGGAAAATCCTTTAGTGCAATGAAAAACATTAAGTATGGTACAAAAATACCAGGTTATAAGTTAATTCGATTTGCTCTTCACTTTCTTATTCCTACTTTTCTGTGAGTGTGTTTATATCATGATACATATTACTGAAAAACCTTCAAGGATGCCAACCATGAGTAAAGTGAATAGAATCAAGTCTAAATTTCTAGATACGGGATTCAATGTTCTCCATTAAAGAAGTTCAACTTCTCATTCCAGATTTATCATCTGCTATCATTCTACAAATGGTTATCATCTGAATATCTAGAAAAGGAATAATCTCTACAAACAGTCTGCAAATTTTCCACCTAAATTGACTTATCCCTTGTCTGTGCTGATTTGGAACTAGATATGTTTACCTGAATTTACAATTCCTTCCCTTATGTTAGTAATATGGTTACATGAATTAACTGTCTGGCTCAATGATAAATTTAAAAAACAAAGATGGGGCGCCTGGGTGGCTCAGTCGGTTAAGCGTCCGACTTCGGCTCATGCATGATCTCGCGGTTCGTGAGTTCAAGCCCCACGTCAGGCTCTGTGCTGACAGCTCAGAGCCTGGAGCCTGCTTCGGATTCTGTGTCTCCCTCTCTCTCTGCCCCTCCCCCGCTCATGCTCTGTCTCTCTCTCTGTCTCTGTCAAAAATAAATAAACATTAAAAAAAAATTTAAAAAAACAAAGAATGTGTCTTCTTTGTTTTCTCTTATAGACTATTATTCTGGGAAATTATAAAAATTAATGGTAGCAAAATGTAATTAATTTTGAAATATAAGCAATATTCAGTCAAACCAAAAAGTTTTATGTATCCATCAGTAATAGATTCTTGGTGATAAACACAGTTCTGAAACTATTTTCTTTTAAAACTATATATATATATTTTTTTTCCTTTAAATAATATGAATTTTGAAATGTTTTTTGTTAAAATGCATTTCAATGAAAATAAATATTAGAGAGAAAAATCATTCAAAATATACTTTAGTCCAATGTATTCCATTAAAAGCCAATGCTTCTAATTATATAGATATTTAGAGTTCAGATCTTTCCAAGACCCAGAGTCATTTAATTGCAGCTAAACGAATGAACAATAGATTGGATTACCAATTGATCAATTCAATTAGGCCATTAAGAAAACTGAAATAAGAGCTCCAATGTATGGGCCAGTTATTTTACTCAACCTAGTACCCAAAGCAGATTTATAATTCAGCAATTCAATCTACTGCTTGGCACTCAGATGTCATGAGAACTAAATAAACTGAACCTGACAATCCCAGTGGCCCCTCAATACCTCATACATTCTCCATCACGAAATGCTTTAAACCATCGCAACCTTATTCAGTACTGTATTATCAGTATTTCAAAACAAAACCCTTTTACAACAATTTAATACTAATTTACTCTGTTACATTACTCTGTTAAAAATGTACAAGTCCTCACAAGCAAGAATTCAATTTCTGCCTTAAAACATTAGTCAACACATTAGTTACCAATTTCCCTAACTTTGAATGAAATAAGTAATTATTCATTTAATCTGGAAAGTGTAAAATATTATGGGGAAATCTCATTTAAAAGTTTATAATTTTTCTTGAACACAATAGCACCAATTCCATCCCCAATCTCACAGAAAAGTGTGACTATCTAGATTTTACTGAGCCCAGACTCCATTCTCTCCCTCATAATCAGTATGTTTCTAAGACCTCACCTTAATTAAGATCTCCTCTCTCATCTTCATTTCTCAATCCTGCCTGATAGCCTTTTAGTAGCCACTGTTGGTCAATTCTCTCCAGGTAAATGCCCCACATTCTACCTTAACTTCATTCTTCCAGTTTATCTTCCTTACTGCCAGTTTGTCCCCTCCAACACATCTGTGCCCTATGACCCAGTTAAAACAACTAAGTGCAGGTCCCCTGAAAAGCTATTATATCTCCTTTCTCTATGCTGTGCTGATGCTGTACTTTTGTCCTGGTGTACACTTCTTTGCTCTTCATAACTGGCACCTGGTGTTTCTCTCTATGTAAGGGAATACCACTGTTACGTCCTTCACAGCACAATCCACTTTCATTGTCTGTTTTTCCCACTACACTATTGCTGTCTTAGGGCACAGTCTCCCAAGTTTGTATTCCTAGCAACCAGCATGATGGCAGGTCTATAAAATTCACTGGAGAGTTTGTTGAATAAGGTACTTATTTAGTTAGTTAGTAAATAAACTGAAATAAACTGAAATTGATCCTTGAAAGGCAACATTTCAAAACAACTCTTTGATTCTTAAAATCTGAATTTAATAGAACTCAGTTAACTTGGTGATATCGGGCATCTGATATATAAAAGGGGTGACTTTTATTTTATATAAACTTGAATAAGAACATCAAATTATATATGAATTAGTACTAGATAACTTTCTACACACATTAGTGTTTATGTTTAAAACTAATCCAAAAACAAATAACTTCATCAGTCAAGATGGTACTTAAATGACCATGAAGAATATATTATTTTAAAGAGTGGTGACCATTCAGAAACCACTTTAATGCTTCTAAGTCATGTTAATACTTTGACGGTTTTCTATTTTAATTGACTCCATCTTACCTGATTAAATAAGCATTAGAAGAGAGAGTGGGTCATCTATGTATCTAATTTATTACTTCCTCAGATTGGTACTTATAGAAAACAGAAATTCATTCAGAAGGGATTAGCATGATTTTAAAAATGAGAAAACCATAAGCGGCAATTAAAAGAGGCTGGGATTGACCATTCATTCATTCATTCATTCATTCTCTCATTCAATTTTGCACTCACAGTGGATTTGTGTATTTGACCTCTAAAGCAACTTGCAAACTCAGGGATAAGTGAAACAAACATATGCTCTTTCAGCAGAGCCTTTATGCGGTCAATAGCATGCGAGACAGGCTTAACCAAGTATGACAACAGTGTGTGTGTGTGTGTGTGTGTGTGTGTGTGTGTGTGTGTGTGTGTTACCTCAGGTCATAAATCCTTTTGGAAGCTTATATTTGAAATGATAGAACTCGGAGAAAATTTCTCATTGTATGTACTGATTTAAAAAAATACAATTTCCATTCACATAAAAAATGCCCACACACCTCCAAAGTATACCAACATATTCTTGATTTTCATCAAATTAACAAGATGAAATTTGGCTTTAAATAAATCTCCATGGATTAGAATGTAAATGTGTTTTACAAGGTGAATAAATAAATGTAAAGGGTGATCTGATGCTTATGTCTCTGTGTCTTTCAAAACTTTCCACTTCAGATTTAATATTTAATTAGTCCAACTTTATCCCTTAATACCACTGGAAAACAGACTTTTCACTCATATTAAGATAGCCTAACATAGTCTTGCCAATTTTCTGTGTGACTTACCTAGGCTTCCCATCTGATTGACTTAGATGCATTATTAAGGACATATGAATATAAATATTTAAAATTTTTGTGTATCTAATGGATGCCTAAATAAATGCATGTATGTGTTGGGAATAAATGCTACATTAGCATCTGTCACTGCCTAGCGGATGAAAGGAAACAGTGGTGCTGATGGTTATTGACATGTATAAGTCAGTATCCCTGTGACTGATGGAGGAGAGAATACACAAAAGAATTAGAAGAGGTTTCAGAGATGTCCTTATCGTAGTACCTAGATATGTTCAAATTGCCAGTTTGCTTTTGAAGTGGACTTAGGAATATTACCCTCTCTGTAGCTGAAGGACTTGTGATAACTGCACACAGCATGTGGAGACAAAAGCCAACATCAGTGCTTTGATAGGAAGTCTGTCACAATTACTCAAGTGTGTGTCTTCTTTGTGATTCTCACAAGTAAGTCTCTGTAAACCCTATAGTGCGATTAAATGGGAAAGTAGATACTACATAGATAGAAGATAGTAGCAGTTATTGGAAGAGAGAGATGTTAGAAAATATCCAGTCTAACCTCTGGTTATGTAGGAGAAGAAAAGGAGCCCAAAGTCTTAGATGTGCCAGATAAGAGAAAGGAAGATAAGAGGTAGAGAGAAACAACTTCCTTTATCATAATATCAGTCACACTTTATTGTAATGACTTACATGTCCATATTCATCCAGCACTCTAATAAGCAAGACTCTGTGTCAGTCTTAATCATTGCCATATCCCTGTACTTAGTCCAATGTTTCTCAGAAATGAGTACATGAATTAACGAGCAAATGAATGTTCAGTATTAACCTGGGGAAGGTTCTTAACCTTGCTGAACCTCACTCTCATCCTCTGAAAACGGGGATAATAATAACTACCTCTTAGAATGTTATCACAGGAAAATAAAATAATACATTAAAAGTGCTTAGCAGTGGGGTTACCTGGGCGACTCAGGCAGTTAAGCATCCAACTCTTGATTTTGGCTCAGGTCATGATCTCAGGGTTCAAGGGGTGAAATCCACGTTGGACTCTGCGCTCACAGCTCAGAGCCTGGAACCTACTTCAGATTCTCTCTCTCTCTCTCTCTCTCTCTGCCCCTCCCCTACTTGTGCACATTCATTCATTCATTCTCTCTCACTCTCAAAAATAAATAAACTTTAAAAAATGCTTAGCAGTGAACTTTATGCAAAGATTTGTATATTAATAGGATGAGTGAATACATACAAAAATGAAGCCAAATATAAGGAAAATACCTGTTTCTCCACAAACTTCAACTACAACACTGGGAAGAATAAGGAATGCTTTTGGCATACCCTCATCTAATGACTCACTTAGAAAAAAAGAAAGGAATATGAAACAAAACTCCCAAACAGTACAGAACTTAAAAAATAATTACAAAGTATTCGTTAAAGGGAAAATCATTGTTCAAACTACTTCAAAGAATATAATTCTGCTCTTTATTGAGCACAGCAGTACCTGACAAAATCCTGACTTCTGCTTCGTTTCCTGTTCTTGAGCTGGCTGGATTCCGGGCTAAGCATCGATAGATTCCAGTGTCCCCAGGTTGAAGTCTGCTGATCTGCAAGGCTCCAGAGGGCAACACCACCACTCGGGAATCACCTGGGATGGGAATCAGGTCTTGTTGGTTTTTTTGCCAATGTATTGTTGGCATAGGCTCCCCAATAACCTCACACTTGAGTAGCACTGTGTCTCCCATAAAGGCCGTGACAGATTCTGTCTGCGATAGGAACCTCAGTGGTCCTAGGGGAAAAACAAAGAAGGAAGGACAAATATTTCAGATAAGGTACAATAATCACTAATAAAAATAATCACACCTGTACTCTTTGTAGAAAATTGTATTTTATATTTTGTCCAATTTCATCTCCTTTGCTCTTTATATTTTATGCATCTGACATTACAATAGTTTCTGTGGCTAAAAAATTGATAAAGATATTGCCATTAATCTCTAGAAGCTTACTATTTTGTATTATTCATTCATAAAACAGTCTTGTAAAATAAACACAGCAGGCAAGGTCATCTTAACTTTACACATGAGGGAATGGAGGTTCAGAGACATAAAATTCCACAATTCTGCAAATAAGACCTGGTTCTTTTGAATCCTGGTCCTTTGTGCTTCCTAGTACATGGCTTTGGACAAAGGACTATGAAGTTATGGGGATTCATGAAGGACTGGCCGTCCTGCTTAGCCTAGAGGAATTTCAAGAAAGATGGGGGACATTAACCACCAATTGCAGTAACAGAAAACACTCTCATAGGAGTTGACTGCTTAAGGTAAATGATCATCAGTATTTTCAAGTTATGGTTGTGTTATACTGAGAAAATGAATTAGACTAGTTTGTGTTTCTAGCTTGGCTGGGCCACCTACTCTGTATGAGTTCTTTGGTAACTTCTTTCATTTCTATGGGCTATAATATGGGATAAGAGCCAACTCAACTCACACAACCACTGTGATGTCCATATACAATAACAGGTGAAAAAGATGCAATCATATGGATGATTAAGCAAATGTAGGGGAAAAAAGAAATGACGAAAGTAAAATTAATTAATCATTACTGAGCATGAACACAGTGAAAGGAGACTCCTCCATCATGATGTACATGAGAAGGTAGAAAATATTTTGATTCTGCCCTCTTGAATCCCCTTCTTCTCAACAGATGGATATTTATGACCACAGTGCTTTGACCACGAAAACTTTTAAAAAATGATTACAAACACATTTGAATGAATTATGCCATCACTGATATAACATTGGAGATTTTATTTTACAGTTAATTTCATTAAATAATTTTAAATTCTTTGACCCATGTTTCATTCACTACAGTTATATTCTAATATTTTTATTTTCATTTTAATCTTACTGGAATTGTTTTCATTGTGTGTATATTTCAAAATAAAATTTAACTCATTCATCATTTACCTCAAGTTATTCTGATCATATTTTATGTTACCATGATTTTTTTAATTTTATAGATTTGTTTTCACCAAGTCAAAATTTTCTAGGTCCAGGTCCAAATTTTAACAATAAATTTTCCATCAATACGTAGTCAGTAGCCAATTCTACTTGTGCTCAGTTTGAACTATTAGTTTTATTTTTTGGTCTATTAATTCTCACAAACTAACTTTCCCTACAATATGATAAAATTTTTGTTTCAGTCAAAAGGGGAAAGGCAAGAATGACTTACTTAAAACATCATAATTTAATATGGGAACAATCAGAAAGGCTGTAGAGAAGTCGCCTTCCCTAGGTAAAGTGGAATTTCATATTTCTTTCAGGGATTAGAATATTTGAACTGCCAGATAACTGAACCTATGAAATAGGAAATTACATCAATATTGCATGTGGAATAGGTAGAAGCTGCCAAAGATGGTTTATCACTCATTATATTTCCACTCACATTAACAGGCCTGCAGATCTATAGAGGCAATATTAAGTTTGTTCTTTAGTAAGAATGATTAACCCTAGACCATACAGAACCATTCATACTTGTGGAAATATTAATTTATCAGTCAAAATGTATCCCACACATAAGGTGCTAAAATTACTCATCTGGATCCCCAGTTAGGGCTCTGAAATCTGGATGCCTGGATCTGGTTATCTCAACACTACAAATATGTTTACAGGGGGTGCCAGCTGCATGCATAATTCTATTTTTATTTAGTATTCAGAATTAATCTAGAACTATGCTGGATTAACCGCTGAGTAAAGAGACCAAAAGGATTCTGCTAACTTGTGTCCTGGCTAAAGAAATTGTTCAAAGTCCAATTTCTATACTCCTTGTAGTGTAGTGTCTAGAGTCTATTCAAAAGACGTACATTAATCTAAAACCAATTGGCTAAAATGTAGATTTAAAGCATGTAATTAAACAGAGAATGGCTTGTATACACTACACAAGGCAAAACTGCAATGAATAGTTAGCCAGATGTTGTGAGGGTTTTTTTTTAATTTAATCATTTTCTTCTTGGCCTCTACTTCTAGTATTTTGTTTTATAGTTAAGGAAATATGGTTGGGAATAATTTATCTACACATACAAATTATATGATTTATGCAACACAGGTAAGAATAAAATATTTTGAATAAGTTGATAAAAATATCTGGATACTTATGTATATGCAACTATATGGTCTTGTATAAGTTATATACATTAGATAAAATTCGCAATACTTATTTTACATCTAAATGTCTGTGGTGATCCAAAAACCCATTTACTAAATTCTCAAGTATGGAATAAAATATTAAATGAAAGGGCATAAGCATACCTTAGGGATATTGTGGGTTCAATTCTAGAACACCATAATAAAGTGAATACTGCAATAAAATAAGTAAAATAAACTTTTTGTTTTGCTGGCTCATATAAAAGCTATGTTTACACTATACTGTAATCTATTAAGTGTGCAATAGTATTATGTAAGATGCTTTAATTTAAAAGTACTTTATTGGTAAAAAAAAAAAAAACGCTAAGCATCATCTGGGCTTTCACCAAGTTGAAATCTTTTTCCAGTAGGAGGGTCTTGCCTCGATGTTGATGGATGCTGACTGATCAAAGTGGTGGCTGCTGAAAGCTGGGATGGCCATGGCAATTTCTTAAAATAAAACAACAATGAAGTTTGTTGCATTGATCAATTGTTAGTTTCACAAACAATTTCTCTGTAGCATGTGACGCTGTTTGATAGCATTTTACCCAGAGTAGAACTTCTTTCAAAATTGTGGAGTCTGCCCTCTCAAATTTTGCTGCTGCTTTTTCAACTAAGTTTATGTAATATCCCAAATCCTTGATTTTCATTTCAACAATCTTCATAGCAGTGAAGACCAGGAGTAGAATGCATTTCAAGAAACCACTTTCTTTGCTCATCCATAAGAAGCAACTCCTCATCTGTTGAGTTTTACATCAGATTGAAGCAATTCAGTCATATCTTCTGGCTCCACTTCCAAATCTTGTCCTCTTGCTCTTTCCATCAACATCTGCAGTTACTTCCTCCACTTGAACCCCTCCAAGTCATCCATGAGGGTTGGAATCAACTTCTTCCAAACTTCTATTAATGTTGGTATTTTGACTTCTCCCCATGAATCATAAATGTGCTTAGTGGCATCTACAATGGTGAATCTCTTGTAGAAGAGATTGACTCTGCCCTATTGTATCAGAGGAGTCACTATCTATGGCAGATTTGGCCTTACAAAATGTATTTCTTAAATAATAAGACTGGGAGGTCAAAATTACTTTTGATCCATGAGTTGCAGAATGGATGTTGTGCTAGCAGGCATGAAAACATTAATCATGTTGTGCATCTCCACCAGGGCTGTTAGGTGACCAAGTGCATTGTCAAAGGGTAGTAATATTTTGAAAGGAATTTTTTTTCTGTGCAGAATGTCTCAACAGTAGGCTTAAAATATTTAGTAAACCATGTTGCAAACAGATATGCTGTCATCTAGGCTTTGTTGTTGCATTTACAGAGCATAGGCAAACTAGATTTAGCATGATTCTTAAGAGCCCTATGATTTTCCGAGTGGCAAATGAGCACTGGCTTCAACTTAAAGTCACCAGTTACAATAGCCCCTAACAAGAAAGTTAGCCTGTCCTTTGAAGCTTTGACTTCCCCTCTCTAGCCATGGAAGTCCTAGATGGCATCTTCTTTCAATAGAAGGCTTTTTTTTGTCTACATTGAAAATCTGTTGTCTGTTGTAGCCACCTTCATTAATTATCTTAGCTAGACCTTTTGGATAACTTGCTGCAGCTTCTGGATCATCATTTGCTGTTTCTCTCTGCATTTTGATATCATAAGAAAGGATTCTTTCCTTAAACTTCATCAACCAACAACTGCTAGCTCCAAACATTCCTTCTGCAGCTTCTTCACCTCTCTCAGTCTTCACAGAATTGAAGAGACTTAGGGTCTTGCTCTGGATTAGGCTTTGACTGAAGAGAATGTTGTGGCTGGTTTGACCTTCTATCCAACTGCTAAAACTTTCTCCCTGTCGGCAGTCAGGCTGTTTCACTTTCTTATCATTTGTGTATTAACTAAAGAAGTACTTTCAATTTCCTTTAAGAACTTTTCCTCTACATTCACAATCTGGCTGATTGTTTGGGGCAAGAGGCCTTGCTTTTGGCCTGTCTTAGATTTTGATATACCTAACTTACTAAACTTGGTAACTTCTAGCTTTGGTTTTAAAATGAGACATGAATGACTTTCCCTTTAACTTCAACACTTAGAGGCCACTAGAGGGTTACTCATTATCTAATTTCAATATCTTTGTGTCTCAGGGAATAGGGAGGCCCAAGGAGAGGGAGAGGATGTGGGAATGGCCTGATGGTGCAGCAGTCAGAACACACAGAATATGTATAGATCAATGTTTGATGAGCGTGGTTCATGGCACCCCAAAATAATTACAATAGTAACATCAAAGATCACTGATCACAGATAAGCATAACAAATACAATAATAATGAAAAAAGTTTGTAACATTGTAAAAATTACCAAAATGTGACACAGAGACACAAAGTGAATAAATGCTGTTGGGAAAATAGGGCCAAAAGACGTGGGTGACACAGGATTGCCACAAACCTTCAATCTGTAAAAAAATATACAATATCTATAAAGCCCAATAAAGCAAATTACATTAAAACAAGGTATGCCTGTCCTCAAACTTATACTCAACAACCGGTTCCTTTATGTAAACTTCAACTAGCTGGAAGAATCATACAGAGGACATAAAATTGTATGTTAATATAATTAGACTTAATGAAATT